CTGGGTCAGAAATGCAGTAAAGGTGAGGCTTTCGTCGCAATGTACAATTAGCTGCTGAAGAGTTCAGATGTGGTTCTAAAAATTTATAAACGACGTTACATGGTCCTTTTAGATACCATTCTTCCCTAAGATGACCCCTAATATCACGGATATACGTGCCATAGCTCGAGCCGCCAAGGAGGGAGAGCATATGGAGTGACTGCCTTACGATAATACCGTAATCAGGCCTCATGCACATGAAGGCTGATGGAACTGCGTGGCCAGCAGTTGGAATAGACAAACGGTGAACAGGTTTCTCCTGCAGTCTACATTTGCAGTTTAATATCGTCGCAATCAGTCTAGGCGGTGTCAAGCTGCGTTGTAAGAACCTATCTGCAGCCTTTTAACCACTGGTTGTTTTCCTTCCTCAAAGGCAGTGAGCACGATGGCTGGGGGCGAGGGGTTACTGCCAACGCTATTGGTGGAAGAGTTACAAAAGAGCGTTTGGCCACACCCCACTCAGCCCTTCCACCAGTGACGTTGGCAGCAACCACCCGCCCCCGCTATCGTGCCCACTGCTTTTAATTGATCACTAGCCGTTCGCTGTTGTACTCAGAGGTGCTATCTAGAGTTAGTCACCCCTCACCACTAAAGTCATAAGTCTTTTCTCTCAAGACAAGTTAGTTGAAGATCAATAATGGAAATGTCTTTTTTATATTTATTAACTCTTTTTAGAACCACATACGGTGGAATGTCCGGCTCAGCTATTCGACCAATTGCGCTCAAAGCCGTATCCGCAATAGCCAATGACATGGAAGGATTCCCCATCATGGCTACTGGTGGAATAGAAAGTGCTGAAACTGGCTTGGCATTCCTATCTGCCGGCGCTTCCGTACTCCAGGTAATCCATAGATTTGCTCATTCATAGCAGGGCCACCAAGGCTATTGAGCACTAGCTAAACAATACAAAAAAAGACTTAGTGGAAGCTGGTTCTCTTCGGGACTGTCGCTCGGCTACTCTTTTCGTCTAATCCCTTGAGCACCTCACGCGTCGATGACGAGCGTCGACGCGCTGTAACGCACGACGAAGCGCTACAGTGCGCTGTGACGCGCGTCGAGGCGCTACAATCACAACATCGCTCAAATGCTATAGACGCGAATGCAGCAACAGAAGGCCAGTCCCGATCAATACCAGTCTGTGTGACTGGGCAACACCTACCATCCTATTTCCCTCATACTTCCAAGCGGCCAGCGCTCATCGAGCGAGTGTTCGCGGAGGAAATCGATCGGCGAATGCGGCTACGTTCGCGTCTGTAGCATTTGGAGCACTGTCACAACTAAAGCACATCGACGCGCGTCGTCGCACGCTACAGCGCGTCTACGCGCGTCATCGCGAATTCTGAGCGTTGCCTCATTTTATCTGGCGAAGGGATACATATGCGCGATCGAGTGGTCCCTCTACCAAAACAATTCAGCGCCATTCAATTTATAACTATACGCTAATGATGGACAGTGTCACAAAGTACGTAGCGGCTCCAAAATTTCAAGCTGTTATTGTTTGATACTTGTGTGTTGTGTTACTGTTTGATACTTGTGTTTGTGCCATAGCCTTACAGCACTCATCACGTTGAACGTGTGAGTGCTGTAAGGCTATGGCACAAATAGCCATTGAGCTGAGTGGTCAAAAGTGGCCTCGGTAGCGTAATAGGGAACGCAACTGCCCGGTAAGCAGAAGATGCGGGTTCGAATCCCGTCCGTGGTCCGACTTTTGCCCATAACTCAGCATTCTTGTGACACCTATAAAGAGTCACTTGTTCTTACCTTGGTGTAGGCGTTCAGTACTTATCTCGCCAAGTGTAAGAGAAGCTCATCTAGTTGCAAGCTTCACGAGTGTGG